ATCCATAATGTGGACGGGAGCAGGTGTCCATTGAGTTGAGCAGAGATTTTATTCGAAGGAAAAGGAAGATTAACAACTAACCAACATCCTTAGTACTGTCGTTCAGTAAAATTATTAATTCGTGCAAGATTGCTTTTATATAGATATAAAGCAAAATGGGAGTGTGTCACCTCTTATCTCGAACACTTTTTATCGTGCTGCATACCAGGACAATCTATACTTCAACCCTTCTTATTAGTGCTGATTACCAAGCAAAAAGCATATACGTGTCATGTGCAATGTTTTCTATGGCTCTACAACTATCATTCAGCAATCAAAACAATTTTTGTAGTCATATCGCCATTAGACCCTGATACATGGCGAAATGGAATACGTGGTGGGAGGGGAAATGTTCAGCAAATGGAACTTCGATGTCCTCAATAGGATCACTGTGCAAAGTCTACTCGAACGTGATGTCTGTAATAGGCTTTTATTGGTGAAAGATAATAAGTTTCAATGAAATGTGAGTTTCGAATTTCCCATATCTGGTCATAGGCTGAAATCAGCCGGTTCGTAGCGCTTTGTCCTTTTTGTTCCAGCATGGATGTGAATTAAGGCAACAATATGCAATTATTAGCAGTTTTTGGGTAGCCTTAATGTAGAGAAATTCTTCACAAATGAGTTTCGACCGGACGGTGTGCAGAAATAACTGTTCTTGTACTGTCCAACATCGTTTTCCGTTTCTGAACACAGTTCTGGGAAATGTTTGACAAACTGTTCGTTTGTAAGCAGTTAGAGAAGCACTGGCTTCGAAAATGACCGACCGTTTAGCGTTCCATCCGATCAGATGAGCAACTAGCACGAGAAAGGGTAAAAGAAGCCCTTACCCTATCATTTTTTCTCTTTCAGATGAGGTAACGTCGGTCTATATTCGATTTCGAATTCAAAATCCTCGTGTGAGCGCAGGAGTGCTACAACAACGTCAATCGTTGTAACTCATGGTTTTGTTTTCAATTAGACTTTCCTTTGATTGGGTAGAAATGATTGTAAACCACAATAGTAACTAAACATTATTTATTCCTCATGCAGTACAGTACTATAGACCACAAGGTTAGATTATGAATTCTCCTGAGACGACGTACGATTCAAATTCGCAGTGATTCACTCCACGCAGGATACGGAAGTAACCTAAAAGGAAAAGTCTCGAAAAATGGATAAACATTTGCTTATTCTCATAATCTAAGAAAGTTATTAAACACAGTCAGCTGTGTGATCACTTGCTATCAGAGCAGCTGATAAGCGCTGATAAGGATGATTGGTTCAATAATATTAGTATACTCGATATGTAGTTGCAAAGATTATAGGTGTCTGAGACCTGGCAGAACACCTTTCCGAGCCACTGTATGTTCAGGAGTAGCGAATAGAAGTGAAGATAAAGAAGTTTAAAATGAAACCAAAGATAAGATTTTTCTAATATCTTCTTGCGCTAATTCTGTTTCTTTTTTATCGAGTCCCCCCTAGCCACCTTTACATAAGGGAAGCAATAATTTTGGGAGCTTCCCGATTTTTTTTATTTTGTCACCGTCGCAAGCAGAAGTACGACCGAACTGAGTTTGTAAGAGAGCCCTGGGAAGCCGTACTCGGTCCACATTAACCCTCTTTTGTGACCTGTCGACCGTTGAAGTAGACGCCATGGAATGGTAAAAAGCTTAAGGCTATTTGGTTGTGCGCATGTGCTAGAGCTATTCCCTTCTGAAGCACATGTACAAATCTGCACGTTTCTATATCAGAAACGAAAGCAGCAGGCTCTCTCACTGTTCCTTGTCACGCAAATCAAATGTTTTCTTTTGTAGCAAAAATGGAACAACAGAAGTAATACCGTCTTCTCCCCAATCAGTACTCCACGAGTTGGCAACATTCCAGTACTTTGTGCCATTTTCGACTCCCCAACCAACGACTTTTACAGCATGTGCGCCTCTTTGTCGGCCATATGTGTGCTGCAAAATAAAGTGTGGATTTTTTAATTTGCTCAGTGATCAACAATGCAATTGCATTTGAATGCAGCGACACCGCTGAACGCCTGGGCTGATGTAAAGAAATGGAAGAATGCATCGAATCAAGGGATGACCAAGGTAGTAATAGCTCAACTACGGTTTAGCGCGTTGTCTGGCCAAAATCGACTTATACATGCTGGTTTTTCAGAGCTCATTGACAAGGTAAGGCTACAGCTAACACCTGTAACCTTCTCCTCGGATAGTCGATCTGCATATTAGTTGCCGATTCTACATATGTCTACAACGTCACTGAGAACTGATTTATGGCTAGAATCCCTTCTCAATATTAAGGGGATATCCATACCCATACATATTTAATATCCCTAGTCGCGAGCCTCTTCCCGACATTCAGATCAGCAAGATGAGGCGGGATGCTGACGTTGATGCATGAAAGGATATTAAAATATCACCTGAGATACCTCACCACATATATTCCTCTCGTATAAAAGGAGAAGTCTTCATAAGTGATGAAAGCTGCTTGAACTGGCCCATTCTTCATCATTTCCCTCTGAATTGCTTTCTCATCGGTATTCAGAATGTATACCGATTTCACTGAAACAGAGCATAACGTTTACAGAGAATAAAATTAAAAATTGAGCTCCAAGCATAGATCGGCGGCCAATATCAACTCTCTTCATATACTGTTGTAATAACATAGAAACATGCTGACAGCTTTCAAAAAAGGTAAACATAGGCGTACCGTAAGACTTATCCTTTTCATATCGCTTTCCATATCCATACTGACAATACGGCTTACAGGCTGGTGTTCTGAATGAATGATCTATAGGGCAGCTCCAGAACTTCCCCCCATGAATTCCGCACGGGTGGAGTGGATAAGGTCTGCAGACGCCCTGAAAACATGCACCATTTCTGTACAGTGGATAGCACACATAGACGCCCTGAAAGGTGTTTTCGGTGAGTATTGTGCGCAAGCAAGTCTTAGAAGGTCACTTTTGAAAGAGTAGGTATGAGCCGCACAAAACCGCTGCGGCGTGATTGGCATCACTGCACCATCGAGCCAGTTTGGCAAAGATTTCCCTCAATAACCCTTCTCTGCAAACCTTTCATCGCACTTACCTTCTCCTGGTATCGTCCTCCAGTGCACACGCCAAATTTTTTTACGTATTCCCAGGCTTTGTGATCCATTCCTCCACTACACCTGTAAGGGAATCCACCAGTTTCAGTGTATTAACAATAAGTGTTCAAAAGTTGTCAAAGCTCAAAGCCTTCGCTTTTCTATATCAACGGATAACGGTTTTGAGAGCTAGAAACCATTGCTTCAGTTTTGCTGTAAATTTGGAGACTGATCAAATAATGTGCAACTAATTCCGAGAAACTGTGAACTAAGGTGTTACTACACCCACTTTGATTTTTTCGCATGCACGATTTGCCAAATTTGCGAAGGACTATCTCTGTATTTTTTGCAGTGTGAATCAAGTACATCAAAAACATTGTTTCGAATTCAAACAGATGTAGTTTTTCGACTGGTTTCTGTAGTCTTAAGGAAGAACAAGTGTAAACTGAAGTATTACACGATTATTTCAAAATACTGCTATCTCTGAGCTTCATTTAAACTTGTTGTCGTTTTGTGTACATTTCGAAGCTCTTTGCTCTTCA